TTCCTGCTGCTCTTATCCTTGTTCTATTGCCTAGTACTTCAGTGAAAATCTCCTAGCCACCTGCACCTACTGCTAACTCAGAGAACTAACTATAACATCTAAATAACCCAAATCAGCCCTTTACCCACACAACAAATAACCAGTTGGCCATATTCAGACTGCATGGTCATTTCTGAAATAAAGATAAAACAGGAGAAGAAACAATACTTGAACGATGTATTAGGAACCCTTTTTATAAACCCAGGTTGAAGCCTCAAACATGTAAATAGCAATAACAACTCTAAAAACTTCTCCCATTTCCACTAATGTCACTAGGGTAAAAAAAAAAAATAAAATATCCAAAGCACACAAAGAGGAGTTCAAGTCTCCTACTGAGTCACTTAAATAAGCATCATGGATTCCAGAGGTGCTTAAGCAGCTGTACCTCTCTCTCATCTCACCTCCTGAACATGCATCCCAGCTGGAAACATTAGCCTGGTTTCATCATGACTAGGAGGTAATATAGGACATTTCATTAGCCAGGGGTTCACCTTAGGGGCTTTGTTTAGTAAGCACAGCCATGACTGAAGAGATTTCAGGGGATTAGCCCCAGCTCTCTAGAGGACAGGGCCTACTTTTAATGCTTAACCTACCTCACCTGTGGAACTGGCAGCACAGCAGCAGAACAGGCATAAAGGGAAATGATGACCCAGGATGCGCAGGGCACTGAAATCCTCTCTGCCTTTCCAGCAGGGCTGGAAACAGCACTGCCCCAAGATGCAGAGTTAACTGTATGCCAATAAGTGTCTGTGAGAATGGTGTGGAAGAAATTTTAAAAAGAAAACAAATGCCCCCTCTATAAGCTATGACATGATATTTAATACTAAATTTTATGAGAAAAAATAATGTAAGCATTACTTATTCACTGGAACATTCAAAAGTCCCCCAAAAACAAACAAAAAAATCACAAACAAGAAAAACCACCCACCAAGCTAAATAGCAATCAAAAAGCCATTTTCTAGTCATCCTTATACAGCTAATTCAGATGCATGTGTTTAACTACATTGGGTACACTTCATACCCCTGTAACAGATATTATTTGCCTTCAGCTGTAGTGAGACACCTTCACTTCCCATACAGTCAAATGCTAAGTGGACTTTACAGATACCTGGTATATTTTAGCACAGTTAATCTTCTACAAAACTTTCACCTAAGTACACATACTGCTGCCTGACAGTGTTCATCCATTTACTCCCATTAAACATACAGACTTAGCTCCCAGAGGTATCAAGACAACCCCTCACTGACTAAATAACATGGCTAAAAACATGCAGCATCTTCTGAGATTACACACGCTGTTACTTCTTCTTTTGACTGCACAGACAGGTCAGCTGGATCAATGGTCTCCAGTCTGATTGCCCCCCCTTACAACCACAACTCCACCAAGGCAATCAAAGCAGTCTTTTCCTCATCCGCTCTAATGACAACGTATATTAATGCACACAGCTGGGATGCCTGTAGGAAATGATCACTGGCTTTTTTCTTAAGCTCCCAGGCAGGAGGAATCAAAATTCAGTGAGAGTGGGCATTAATTCTCCATTATCCAGTTTTCTGAAGTTTGAATTTTGTTAAAATTGATGTTCTGAAAGAACAGTTATAACTACATTAATAGTCGATTTCTATTTCAGTAAGTCAAGAGACTGTTACGGTCTTCTCTGTTCTAGTACAAAAAACCTCCAGTTGATTTTGAGCAAAGCATCTAGACTGAGCTCTACCCCTCACCTTCACTTCTGCAGGATGGGATTAATGCACTGCAGAATTATTCATTGCTTCTCCGATCAATGGATTGATTTATATATTCATTCTATGACTAACAGAAAGCCTCTGTGGTATCTCAACTCTTATATGACTGTGTAAATATTTAATAGTCAGTGGTGGTTCTTTGCAAAGAGGACTATTACATTTTTTTAATAAGGAATCACAATCACTAGAATTTCTCCTCTCCCTATTATCTTATATGAGTTCATCGTCCTCTTAGCTGTGATCTCAGTACAGATTTCATCACATCTTTTAAAATTACATCATCAAATTAAAAGACCAGTGTCTTAGTGTGGCTGAGGTCTCCTTCTTTAAAGTACATAGGAGTACAAGTGGATCCAAGCGGCACAGTAGAGCAGCACTGAGCAGAGTTTCTCCTCTTCGAGCGCTTATTTTTTTTATTTAGAATACCAGACTCTTTTTCACATGCTAAATTACATCAGGTTTCACTCTGCCATTTTAAACCAGTATCAGAAGGCCTTCTGCCTACATCCTGCAAATTTTATCATGCAGTTTTGCAACTGTTAGTGGACCAGAAATTTTATTGATTTGTTGACTTTTCCTGTTACTAAAAGCATAAATCTCTCATTCCATGCATATAGGATTTTTAAGTTTCAGTACACACTGAATGTTCATTTGGTTTGTTATTCTCTGGAGACAGATACGCACCTAAATACCCAATGATACATGACAGGGGTTTTCTGGTGCTTTTTATCTTCAGAGGATTTCCAGCAAGTTCACAATGTCGATCTGCATCTGAGAATTTTAAAGAATAAAATTCAGTTTAAATATTTTACCATTACAAATATAATTAGGACACACCAACCAGTTTCTGACTTGCATATTTACCATAAATTTCTTTTTTCCTTTTAGCACGTTCTTCTTTTTTTCATGAATGCTAATAATAATGGATATTTAAAGGCAGGCCATGTTCCTCATTCATGCAAGTGATGTTTTGTTTTTGTTTTTTAAGTTACGTAAATTCTAACACAAATTTGAATGCATTCTTTGCCTACCAAATCTTTTTGGAGACAGTTAGGCAAATGAAACACAGACAAAAACATGAGTACTAAAATAAAAGCAGCTCTGGCCATTAAAAATAATTTACATTGAAATCTTCATTTTCTACAAGCTTGTATTACTCCATTTAGAGCCAGACAGAAGTAAGAAGGATTTAAAGTTGGGACTACTGATTTCTGTCATGTCTCTTGTGGTACAGTGATTCATAAAATTCTTAATAAGTAAAACAGAACACAGCGGCTACCATGGCAAGATGAAGCTTAAAAAGACCCCAACCAAAAAAATTCCTTTACTATAAACTTTTAAACAAAGCGGTCAGTCGTAACCAAGTATGACAGAGCTCAAAGGTCTCAAAATCGTAACTTCCTGCAAAGTAAATGAAAATAAGCAGTTCAGTAAATACATTCATTTGATGCTACAACATTGATCTGACACCTTGAAAGGCACTGCGAATACACAAGCAGAGAATCTGCCTAAATGCCCCAAACATAGAAGTCTTACTATGAAAAGGTTCACACTTAGAGAGTGGAGTCAATCAACCTAAGGCAAAAATTCACAAGACACTAGGTTTCAGTATATAGTTTCAAGACTACTGGAACTATACTTTTTTTTTTTTTTTTAAACTACTCAGAATGACTGGGTTATCTGTCTTCCAAAAGCACGTAAGTAATCCCTGTATAGGGCTTCCAATATCCCTAGAACACAGGTATTCTGTTTTGAACAAAACTGTATTCGTATGTAGACTGCGTAGTTCTAGAATTCTCTCACATGGAATTACTTCCCACATACACATACCTACATGTACATCTTTCTTTGTATAGGTTTCACATATGTACATGCAGATCTGCATTTTCTAACAAGCTAGGTATTACAAATGATCATAATAATTGTAATTCCACTTTGTCTCCACCTTGTGTTTTACCAAAATGTTCCTGTTTGCTTCATTCCAGCACACAAGATGGAGTACACAGTCACACAAAGAAGACAAGACACTATATATAACATATATATAACATTTATATATATAAAACAATTTACAATCTCTTTATATATAAATGATTAAATGACTAAAATAAGTATTTCAGTATGTCCACAGATGTTTTCAATGCAGCAGACAATGTACAACTTATTTCAATATATTAAGGAATCTGCTTGAAATTCTGGAAAAGCTAGCTGGTATCTGGGCAGCCCAAAGATTCCAGAGCCCTAACGAGTACACAAAGTACTTTATTTTTATCTTAATAACAAAATATACTGTTCTCAGTGAAAAAAATGCACTGAACCTGGTGCCTGGAACATTTTTAATATTCCACAACACTTGAAATATTTTAAGTGACAGAGTAGAATGATGTGTCTCCACTGTCTCCCTTAGTAAAATAAGCACAGACTATACAGGAAGTATTTTATAGTTACTTTGGGAACAGCAAAGCATTGCCTAAGAAGTAATTAGCAAGAAAACTTTCCATTAACATGTCTTCATTGTAAAAAAAAAAAAAATAAATTGAATCATGGTAAGATATTAATACATTGACTGAGAATATAGACTGCAAAGAGAGCACCATTTCCACTCCTGAAGCGAAGCATGTTCACCAAAGGTACCAGGTGGGTATTCCAAAGCACATCTATCTATTAAGAGTTAAATACATTTAATAGCAGCAAAGTTTGATCCACAATGTGGCACTTCCATTAAAAGCACGATAAAGTTTATGATCTTTATGCACTACATACAGAAAAACACAGAAGTTAGATTGTGCATCACTCTCAAGTGTCAAACCATAGAATAAAATGTAGGTAGGAAGTTGTCAAAAACAAAATTAAAAACAAGTCCTAAAATCAAGTATGGGCTTCCACATGAACAATAAAAATCTTTGTAAGATCAGTGAAATAGTGGAAGCTATGAGAAAACACACACATATATAAAAGTTTTATATCTGATAGTGTATTTTTTCAAACTTATCAAAATCAGAAGGTGTGCTAGTGCCAGTAGCGATAGTAGATGATCAAGGTGTGAGGAAAATGTAGAAGACAGATAAAGGCATGGCAGAAATGCTGAATGCATTCTTTGCATCAGTGTTCACTGCAGAAGAACTTAAAAGAAGCTCACTTCCAAAATCCTTTTACGAGGAAAGTATGAGAACTGTGTCATATCAAAGTGTCCATAGGAAATATTTCAAAACAAACTGGTTAATGAATAAAAACAAGTTACCAGGACCAGGTGGAGTTAATCCAAACAGAAACTGCTGAGCACATACGCTACTGTTGTTCAACTAATGCTTAAACTGGTCTTGGTTCAAACAAACAAAACCACAGCAAATGTGGTAACACTCTTCAGTGAGCAGGTCTGCAGACTGGCAAAAGGGCTGAACTATATAGAGGCATACAGTTAAATATGGAAACATCAAGGGAGTCAACAAAGACCTTGTAAAGGGCAAACATGTTTAATGTGTTCACATTACTTAGCGGTGTGTCCTGGCACCAAGAAGGACAACCGCATACTGGGCCGTACCAGCACAAGTGCAGGCAGCAGGGCGAGGGAGGTAACCCGTCCCCTCCACCCTGATGAAACCACGTCCAGACCCCGCGATGAGTTCAAGGATCCCCACTATAAGCGATACAGACGTCCTGAAGCAAGTCCAGCTATTGAAGAGTCACCGAGCTGGTTGGGGGCTGGAGCACAGGACATCCATGAAGAGGCTGAGGGAACCTGGTCTGGTCAGCCTTGAGATGAGGCGGCCAAGGGCAGACCTGATGGCTACCTGTAACTACCTAGTGGTAGAGCATGGAGAAGATGGAGCCAGACCCTTCTTCAGAGGTACACAGGGATAGGACAATGTACTATTGCCATCTGTGGCAACAGACACAAGCTGGAGACGGAAAATTCTTGTTAGATGTACAGAAAAGATTATTTACTGTGGGGCTGATCAAACACTGAAACAGGCACCCAGAGAAGCCATAGAGTCTCCATCCTTGGTGACAGACAAATCTCATCTGGACAAAAGGCTCATGAGCACATGAACTTGATGCAGGGGGTGAGATTAGAGACCTCCAGGGGTCCCCTACAAGTCCTGTAAACCAGTGATGGCAAGTATCACAGCTTTGCCAGGATCCTCTGAAAGAATCGTGACACGTACACATGCAGCTGATCTGGCATTCAACTTTGCATTTCCATTAGCTTTTAACAAACTGTGTCACCAAAGACTGTGGTTGTCCAGCTGTTACAGGGTAAGAGAGTTGTGTTTTTTTTCCAGGGATTATCACCTGATTAAAATCAATTGTCTATGCAATCCTCAAAGGCTCTGTGCTGTTCAACATAAAAAAGATCAGGAAAAGAGGTGATTAGAGGTAGTTTCTTGATAAGAAATTACTGAGCATAATCAGAGCTAAAACTGATTGCAAAGGATATCAGCAGGATCAAGCAATAAATGTAAATTAATTCTTAAGGGGTAAAATCGCTGTAACATACAATGATGGGTGCTAAACCACCAGCACCCAGAAAAGAATTTATGAGTGTCGATGGCTTTCTAAAAATATCTAAAAAATATCAAGAGCAGTCACTTAAAAATAAATTAGAATCAGAATATATTAGAAATAATGATAGGATGAAAAAGCACAATAGAAAACATCATGTGAAGCTCTCTAAAATGATGAGAAACCCGTATCTTGAGGGGCATGTAATTTGGGGCACCATAACACTAAAAAGCATACATTACAATCAGAAAAACTACAGGGAACAACATTACAAACCACAGTGTGAAATTGATTCTTTATGCGGTTTTAAACAGATCAAGTTCTTAACCTAGAAAAGTCATGACTTCTGTAGATATTAAAGAAGTCAACAAAATCAGGAATCATAGAATCATTATGGTTGGAAGAGAACTCAAAGATCATCAAGTCCAACCGTATACCTGATGCCACCATGCCCGCTAAACTACGTCCTGAAGCGTCACATCTAAGCGTTTTTTGAACACGTCCACCACCTCCCTGGGGAGCCCGTTCCAATGCTTAACAACTTAACAGTGAAGAAGTTCTTTCTAATGTCGATCCTGAATGTTACGGAGAAGATGACAGAGAATGAAGTTTGTTCTTTATGATTTGAAAGGGTTTTTTACATTATTTCCTTTTTTAAAACTAGATTTGTAGGTCTCTCATGCTTAGACACTTTCACTGGGGAGTTATTTCTCTTTGATATTCCATCATACCCCTATCAAAATTCAGATTATCTAATGAATCTACTGTGCCATGTGTATTCCCTGAATTCTGTTCTGAGAAACTTTGGGAAAAAACCTAGTGTGTTGTAGTTACTACTGGTTACTAAAATCTGGCACAAATTATATTCAAAGATAATAGTAGAGAAAATATTTTCATGCTCGATGCAGTCAGAAGATCTTCTACAGCTATCAAAATCAAGGATATAAAAGTTATTGTGACTCAGTACCTGTAAACATTACTCACTCCAGATGAATGGATAGTTCTGTGTCAGTAAAACATACGCTGTATGCTTTCAAAGACAAATCAGCAACAAGATTTTTCCTTATTCTACTTAATTGTCACGCATCTTTGTTTTATCAAACCAGATCATAACAAGCAAGTACTGTATACCAAACTTGTTATTAAATCTGCAGATTTAAAGGTACATTAAGTTTTGATCATGAACAGTATACCTATTTCCAGATAACTATATTTATTACACAGATAATACATAACTATCCACTGAAAATATTCTGACAATCATGTCTACATAGATGGAGTATAGTTACCCAAATTAAAATTTATGTATTAATTAATTATAGTAATTCAAATTTGGGTAACTACACTCCATCTATGTAGACACTCTATGTGAGTTGTATTGACAAAAATATATCCAAGCAGGGGGGAAAAAAAAAAAAAAAACCCTCAAAAATCTTCCTGTGCTGAAGTAATAAGGTTCACAGATGCATGGCTCACTGCCATGCATATATCAACATGCTTGTAAGCTGGAGACAGACCCAATCTTGTCAGTGATTGTCTGCAGAATGCCCACATACATTTCATCGAATTAAGATACCTTCCATAGACAGGATAGTTTTGCTTAACTTTCTATAAAACATCCGATGTATTCAAACTAAAAAGAAGGTATTTTGCCTAATTTCGAGCATGGGAATTTCCTCTTACCGAAACAGTTCGCCAATTCTAATTATTCCTGAAAATCCATCAGATGAGTTTATTGTCAACAGCTACAGCGAGTCTATTATCTTCAGGCAGAACCAAGTTTGAGATTTCCATGATGGGTTGTGCTCCTAGCAGGAGATGCCATGCCTTCTCAACCTCCTGGTGACCATCCCTAGATTGAACTGGGACACAAATGCATCGTCTCCACTACCTCCTGCTGGTGTCTGATCAGGGGTCATGCTATGTGGTTCATTAATGAGAAAAATATAATTCTTTGTACTAACTGAAGGAATAAAGAACATAGCATAGGACCTTGTTTTCTGCCAGTGGAGGTAATGGGCTGAGGGAGGAATTGCAATAATAAAAAAGGCTCTGTCTGAAATCTGGTTTCATCTAAAAGATGGTTGGGCCTGAGGTTAGTATTCTCAGAGGCTTCCATGCTCCTCCAAGACAAAAGAAGTTATCTGCAGACAAATTCAGGTGGAATGCAAAAATCAATTTATTTTATGAGCAAGCTCTTACTGGCTTGTTCAAACTTTCTTTCTCAGAACTGGGAATTAGTTTCATTTACAATCTGCACTTCAACAAATCGCGTAAGACTAAGGAGGCATAAAACCTGGTACACTGCTGGGGTAAGTGCCCTACCAGCCCTTCTGTCTTTAGATTTTATGGTTTCTGAGTGTTGGTATGGTGCCTACTGCAATATAGTTGTGAAATGCAGTGATGTTTTCAAGCACTGGCTTGGCACACACAAAGGGACAAGCCTGACAAAGCATCTAAGCAGTCATTAGATTCAAGTTTCAGCACACCAACGTGGAAAATAAATTCCAAATCAGTTCCTGGACGTCCTAACAATATCATGCTATATCACATCACGGGTGACCTGCTACTCCGGCCAGGTTATTATCTAAGCATGACTGTAACTTTTGCAACACCAACACAGACATTCATTCAATGTTGTAATTACTCAGTGGTATTCAACACATGAAATCATTACTGTTAATTAAATCTCCTTTAAAAATTAAAAGATTGCATCAAGTTATCCTTAGATAAGGATTCAAAGCATTTTCAGGAAGAGAGAGCCTATTTAGTTGTAACATTACAATCTATAAAGTCCACTGAACACAGGTTACCAGATATAAGTACAGGGACAAAAGTAGAAAACAACTTTTTTTTTTTCATTTACTTACTTACTAGGCTTTACTAGAGTAAGAATATGACAATGACAATGCAGGTAAGAGCATTGCATGATTTCACAGAGAGAGATTGCCAGAAAAAGAATATGTGCATGTGTGTGTACACATATGTGTGTGTGCACACAGAAAGGATCATGAGTTTAATTAAATGAGATATAATCTGGTTTTGACTATTATAAAATAATTTGAATGTTGTGTTCAAAAAGCATTGACAATTGTGACTATTTTTTCATCCTCAATCTGTTAGGTCTAATCAGGAAGCATCAGCATTCAAAAAGACAAAATTGCAAGGTCCAAATTTTGCTTTAAGCAAAGAGAATAATGAAAGACAGACCACGGGGCGGGGGAAATAATCTTTCTGCTCTTGATGTTAATCTGATGTGGCACTTTTTCATTCAAAGGAACAAAGACGAAGTGCTCACAGCACTGCCAGTTTGATAGAAGAATGACTATTTACTGCTGAAAAGCTCAGCTTTTCACTCCTTTGTTTTAAAGTTGAACTGTGTATATAACACTGGTTCTAGTATGATGATGAACAGTTGGATGAAAGCTTTTTTCCTTCTATTTTTTACCTTCTTTAAACAAAGGTTTCATCTTTCCAATTGAGTTACTCTAGTGTGAGAAGAAATAGGGATATGGATAAAAAGATTCAAGGCTCATGTGAACTTCTAAAATTGATTTTCCTCCCTGATTCAGCAGAAATCACTGCCAATTACACAAATTAAAGGGTATAATGCTTTCCTCTCAAAAAATAACTCTTATTTTGTATTAAGGATTAAAAATATAATCCTAGTCCAGCCTTAGACACACTTCTTCCATAAAGTACAACCCATTTTATTCACACAGTGGACATATGGTTTCCTTAAACCTGAAAGCTGCTCCTGATTTACATCGCTTTGAAAGAAGAAAGGAAATGGCCAACAGGACAACTAAATAAATAAAACAAGGACAGTGAACAGAAATATTCACCAAATTGTCGATGACTGCAGAAGTAGGCGAAGAGTTTGCATGCGAAAAATGGCTGGTGTTAAAGTACATAAGGGGAAAATAATTACTCAAAACCAGATTTTAAGCCTCCATGGAGTAAATTTCTTATAATGAACACTGACATTATTGGCATCCCAGTCAAATATGCTGGGAAAACATTTAGTGTTAATCCAGTAAACATGGTTATAAAACCAACATCTAATATTCTAAAAAGGTCTGTTCAATTCTAATACAATTGACAGTAAAATGAGCCAGCATGGCTCATCTTGGAATACCAAGTGTCTGCTCTGAGAACTGCATCTATGGAAGACTGGGAAACATAACCAAACAGCGTGAATGGTAAAACAACGTGCTCAGCAAAGATTCAAAACCTGCTGAAATATTCAGTGACTTTGCAGCACTACTTACACACATACGCACATAAAGAGACTCACTGTTGCTATCTACAACAACTCTACTTGCTATCTATACCAATTTTATTTAAAATTAAAATCTAAAACTGGAACAGACAAAAATGATGCAACTATGATGTAATAATAAGCATAGCTATCACCACCACCTGATCACCATAGTAAACAAAGGGTTGTATTACAGGACAGATTTAAATTCTTATGCATCCTCAGCTCACTCCTTGACCAACTCCACTGAGAAAAAAACAAAACATGTACAGATCTATATTGTCTGCTCAGTGAGAAAATAAACAAATAACACAGAAGCGAACTTCTTCCACACTGCCTAGTAGGAAGTATGTTTTTTGTGTCACAGTATTGATTTCCCCTCCTGGCCCCCGATTTTTTTTTAATGACAATTTCTTGTAAGTGAATGAGGTAATAGTTATCCCCTTTTTAATTCATTTGAAATGTTTCCCCAGCCTGAAATCTGTTCAAGGCAGCTAGACTTTATCCAATGTGTTCGTGATATGCTGGACAAACGAAAAAAATGAAAAGCAAAAGTGTATAGACAAGAAATGTTTATTGAAAAAGAAAATAAAATTAAAAGACAAAAATGGGTGGGAAGCACAGCACACAGAACTAAGAATTAAAAAAACATCTTACATTCTGCCTTAATGGCAGCACAGTTAATAGGGACAAATGGACGTCTTGCTGCCTGCCGCAGCCGGAGGGTATTTTTGCAGACCTGACGGGCCAATTTTGTCCAACACGTTGTGTGAAGAAAGAATGCTTGACGTGTTTTCACTGCCGACTTTGGACTTCCAGTGTTACGAACTGGAGTTCCCTGTGTAGCCTGCCGGGACATGTGAGTTCTAACATGGGATTCCTACAAAAACAAACAAAAACCCCAAACAAAAAGTCATAAAACCATACATCTGAATTATAGCATTAAAAAACCCCCACAATTTGGATAAATTCACAAAGCTTACCAAAAATATGTGTAAGCACTATACAAATAACTGGGGCTTACGTATGAAGCTGTAAAACACAGAGCAGAGAACTCTATTGTGAGTGCATATATAATGCCATTCTAGACGAGCTATTGTATAGTCCTATTAACATTTTATAGGTAGCAGACCATTTGATAGACAAAATTACATTTGTCCACCAAAGATGCATGAAGTGGATGTTTATCTAAGACTTAGTCAAATAAAGACATGGCAGGAACTGTACAATCTTCAGTTCTACTTAAGACAGGAAAAGGATTCATAAATTGAATTTTGCAATACCAAAGTTGAACACATACATAAAAAAATCATTCCATTAAATATTCAAATCACAGCAGTCTTGTGAAAGCACCACATTTCATTTTAGCAAAATTTATGTATGCAATCTCACCTCTGTAGGTTGGCTAGAAGATAGTTTATCTTCATCTGTCTGCGTGGGCATTTTCAGGCCACCATATTTCTTCCAATAAATCCAACAAGATGCACACAATCTACATTGCATATTAGGAGGACCCCAAGAATACCATTGGTGAGACTGTGGAGCTACAGAGGAGAAAACAGTACAGGTAAACTGGTGCATGCTACATTCAACATAATAAATCCAAATGCTGTAATAGATGGCTTTATATGGCTACAATATATAGCATTATATGGATAAATATTTAATACATTTGACATGGAGAAAATAAGAACTTGAAATTTTGATTTCCTTTTTACAAAAGCACCCCAAAAGTCTAACTCCAAACAGACATTTTGAAAATGCTTCCCTATTTAATTTCAAACCAGGGGCTTTGTACTGCCAAGAAGAGGTTTTCTTTCAGGGCACTACCAAAAAGAAAAAAAGCCCTATAAATACTCCATTATTTCTAATCTTACCCTGGAAGACAAGCTTAAGTTGCTTGTTACTTACTAGGATTACTTAAGATCTGGGTTTTTTACTCAAGTTAGCAAAGCGAGTACTGATAAAGAAAGATCCACATAAGAAAAGGACAAGCACATTTCCAACTAACCTTGAAGATGCATATGTACCTTTATCTTTTACGTGTGGAGACTCAGCAGG